TTTTTCCTGGCTGATTGACTGACTGAATGACTGATTGGTGATCAACGCAAGCTGAACTGCAGTTATCCTATGCGATGCGAAATTCCATTCGCATGTGTACAAAAATCGCAAGATACGTCTGTATATTTGTTTTTATTATTTCAAGCGTGCGACAGGCAAGGCCGCGGTATGCCCACTATTCTAGACAAGTTAAAATTTCCCACCCCCATAACTCGGCCAAATCTCATCCGATTTAAACGAAACTTTGCCCATTGTTCATGGTTTGACCTGTAGATCAATTTGGCATTTAAATCTGACAACAATTTTCCTGGTCAAAATTCATGTTAAAATGATACCTTCAAAAATACTATACAGACATAGGTCAAAATTTTCCACTTCCATAACTCGGTCAAATCTCATCCGCTTTCCATGAGGCTTGGGTCTTTGTTCAAGTTTGGCCTTTTAGTACAGGATACACATAAATAGTAAAATATTCAACACGCAAATAACCGTATTTAAAGGCTAGAAACTTTATTTAAAATTATTTTTACATGCAAGTATGAAAATACATTTCACCACATATGTATCTTAAAATTATATTATAATTTCGGATTATACCATTTGATTCTATTGCGATACAATGGGGCTCTTTTTATCTATATCAGCTATATTAGCATTATTTTGCGGTCCAGATGCATTACCAGGACTAGCTGGAATATTGCCTGTCCGTTCCATACTCCACGGGTTTGAGCCTGATATCGGTGAATCTGCATGCCCAAAACCAGTATGATTGTCGTGTTCAACTGCATTGGTACCATCATATTGTGTATTTTCCAAACGAGTAATAAGCCTTTCATCTTCTTCGCCAAATTCGCCTCCCATTAATGTTGGCTCACCTACGACCATCACATCTTGGGAAGACAATGAAAAGCTGGGACCTGACGGCGACCTCTTTTGATTTGCCACAGGCGGGGTGTTTGCGTTGTTGGCACCTCCAGAATTTGAACCTTTTCTTTTACGTCGCTTGTTTGGTGGTCTTTGCGGGTCTTTTTTTCCCGGTGGCGCGACCATACGCTGCCATTTTTGAAATAGAGTTGTTTTTAGGCAATCACGCGGACTTAGTGCGTACGCTTTGTGGCGTGACATAAGTTCCTGCATTGGCTCAAGTATTACACATAATCGAAGGTAGTTTAAGGTTGAATTTGTTATTCCAGCCCTAGTAATATTCTTTGTTATTTGATCAAGCAGCATTGGATCAGGAGGTAGCGAAGTACCAATTACAGACCTCGGGATGAGTTCTCTATGTCCTTTTATAGTCATATGCCACGATTTGATTCTCATGTAGTCATCATACATAAACTCTAGAATAAGTCTTGCATCTGCACACACTTTTGTGAAAAATGGTTTGCCATGCTGAGTTATAATAGTGCACTGATCGCAATCTAATGTTATAGACGTATTGTGAAACGATTCCTTAGCATGCTTGAGCTGAAAATACAAATCAGAGACACCTCCTTCAAAAATGCTTCGAAAGAAACGTGGAACAAGTGTTCGGCCAATTGTATATCGCTTTGGTCCGTCTTCCAAGCAAAACAATATTGTTAATCTTGCGTCGTCCTCGAAAAACTCTGTTGTAAACGAATCCCACCAACAATTGTCGCTATCTTCATTTCGTTGCTGAAGGCGCTTGTTTAGCTCAAACACTCGATGCTCTGTATGACTGAAGTACGAGTTATGCCTCCTGAAGCCTTGATCAATTCTATCCATTTGCTGAGGGCCACCCATCATAGGATGGTTTCCGCCATGACCAAATGGTGATGCCGGTGGCATCGGATTAAACTGGCTTCCCACTCCGAAAACTGTTGGGGAGGAAAAGTGACCCGCTTGTCCGCTGTTAAATGGAGTACCTGAACTTGCTGGTCGGCTGAATTGACCCAAACCGGAAGACGGTGATCCAAATGGCCCCCCAACTGGTCCATTGAAATTGCCTGATGTTGAGGATTGTGAATAGTTTCCCTGTATATTTTGGGATGCAACACCCACTGGACCAGGGGTTGACGAGCCAGAGGGGGCTGGCGATGAAGTATATTGGGGAGTATTTGATCCGGGTTGATTAGTATTTTGAAACACTAAAGATTGATTACCGGCAGGGGAAGATTGGCCAGCATTTGGATATGGGTTCCCACTCGCAGTGTATGGTAGTCCTCCTTGGGGAAATCCACTTTGATTGCTGGCGTCTGGATTTAGAGACGAAGAGTTCGTAGAAGGTAACATAGTGGAGCCTTCTGTTACGCTCTTCCAGTTTCCTTCGTCAATATTTGATTGAGAAGTCATCGTATTTCCAGTATTTAAACCTCTACGATTCATTTCTAATTCAGTAGCTTAAAACACATTCGCTTGGATCTGAAATAAGTTTAAATTAGAATAAACCAATAAAAAATTTAAGATAACTAGACTTGCTTACGCATGTCAATTTCTAGTGTTTAAGAACATGATATTTTGAAATTCTAAGCCGAATTTAACTATATATATTTTCTAATTTCTTTACGAAGAATATTGTCTACGTTTCGACAGTCTCTAGGGTCGACTTTAAATTTTAAACCAATAACTTTAATAGATGAATCCTTAAACACTTGTAACTCACCTAAATAAAAATAAATATACATTAAACTGACAATTATGTATCTACTTTCCAAAATTAGAGTTCGGTTAGATAGGCATGTTATCGAGTAGACAATCGAATATTAACACTTAAGTGCATGAGCTCCTATAAAATGTGTACTCAGTCACAGTATCGTCGTTTTTTCTACAAAAGAGTGAATATTGCATTAGTTGGATGTACACATATTCAGTATTAATATCAATATACAATATAAACCCTTAGATAAGTAACGCCAATACATTTCAATGCAACGCAAACTTTGTAGCCCTTTTATTTCGCTATTTAAGCGACTCGACTTAGTCGATACCAATGATACATTTTGTAGGCAACTTAAATAGTAAACTAGATTTATTACAAAGCGCACCTTGTGCAATAACTATCTTCAGAAAATAGCGGTCGTATGCTAGGAAGAAATCCTTGTATCATCGAATGGCGTGCAATCACCTATGATTGTATGCGTGAATTACACATGCATAAGTACAACAAAATATGTTTATGTTTGGTTATTCACTGCATTTAGTTTCTCAATTTGCAAAAATTAAGGAGCGTAGTAGCATTTTGCTGTAAGGCGTTACTCCTGCTTAGGTTTTATTGTCTTTGGTAACACTAAATATAACCATATTCTATTTTAACCCAGCCAATACAAGAATCACACACTCCGCTTCAACTCATTTACTCAGAAAATTTACAGAAGGAGTATTAGGAGAATTACAGCAAGATACATCTTATCTGGGAGCTTCTCTAGCATGTTTAAATGCATCTAAATTGGTTCTGCGAAGTCTAGTCCAGCTCGTTGCAAGGGGTAGACACGATCTCGCACTCGGCCTTCTGATAGCGGTCCCATTAAGTGATTGCCCAACTGATTCACATGGAACTACGAGCCAATTTCCAGCCATTTCGTGTGCAGTTAGGTCAGACTGATGATGCGTTGTAATTTGACTCTACCTTCTATCAATCCTGTATATTGCTATTGCATTTCAGCCTGAGTGAAATTTAAACATGTTCTAATTTGTTATCGATGTGGAATCATGCGCAGTCAGAGTATTAAAGTAGTGTAATCTTTTTTGATTTAGGGATCACCGAACAATTGTCTGGCCAAGCAGCCACAGAAGATTTTAAACAAAACTAAGGCAAGCGATTTGTCAGCACAAAGCACAATAATATTAATTTTATAAATATTAATAAAGCAAGTGTTAGTATAAGAAGGTTCAAAGACAATCAATCCTAACTAAATATGTAAGTTTACCTAGGCTTTGTAAGCTTACCTAAAAGCATTAATTCTAAAAACAAAGTTTTAATTATTAATCTTAAATGTTTACGTTTAATAAATTCGTTTTATTTAGCCTTATATTTATACCTTTTTCTGTGATTGCAATCCTTACGTGTTCATCCTGACAACATAAAGCTCGATGGAAGCAACTGGCATATATATCTAGGTATTTTTTTTGCCGAAATGGCTTTCATTTATTCAGCGTCATCAGCTCAGCGGCCCCAAACGCAACCATAGTTAAGTGAAAGGTGTGATGGTTGGGAGAGCCATCTCCTATTATGGGGTGTGCAAATTATAGATGTTCACGTCAAATATGACTCATCAACATGGCAATGCACCGATTCATACTGCCAGGATGCTAAAGTTAGGGATTCCATGTCAATTTATTGCAGTGGCCGCCTTAGTCACCCGACATAAATATATTAGAAAAAGTTTGGGGATGGCTGCTTCCTTGCTATATTAAAAATTTGTGCAAGGCGCTTTCCAATCGAATGGGGCAATACTTAAAAAAGGAGGAGGAGGAGTCCCATTATTAAATGTTTTGCAAAATCTGTAAATTACTGAACATAAAAAGAGCGCAGTGTATAAATAATAAGAGTGCTCTAGTCGCACTCTCGCGCGCACACCTTTTTCTACGCATTTTACTGCAATAACCCATTCTTATACATTAGATACTTGATCTAGTATTACCATTCTAGAGCCTAAATTTCATTGGTCTCTGGCTTTAATAGGTTCTGTTATCGGCGCGGTTCTGTTTGCTGACGCATAAATGAATTTTAACTATATATTTTGGGTGCTGAGAATGACTCGGTTATTTTTTACTTTTTTAATTTTTACTTTAACTTAGAAATTTATTAAAATATCAAGTTATATTTTAAGGACAAATGTTATAAGACTCTATTTCAAATGGTTTATCTAATATTAAGCATGGGCCCTAAACTGTTCACGCGCAGTCTATTCACATAGCTCGCATTTACCGGAATGTATAAAATGTTCAGCGCCCCGGCGTTTTGGTGTTTCAACTAAAAGTAAAATTAGTATTTACGCTTTGACTAGAGAGGCGCAATTAAGTTCAAAGATAAAATCACAGTTTTGGTAGCCGAAATGTAAGCATATAATTTCATAGTATTATTGTTATAACATTAGTTTTGGGTAAAATTATTTTGGAGGACTTTCAACGTAAACAGTTGTATTATCTACACCAAGGAATTGGGTTATACTTAATGCAGATAACAGTTTCATCTGGCCCTGATAGAGGACATCGGCAATAATCTTTTCGGCATATATAGCTTGGGCATTTTCCATTGATCGCAACTTATGAGCAATTATCTTTCCAAAGTTTGTGAAATGATCATCCAGCTGATTATCTGAATTTTTGAGGGCTAGCGAAAGCAGCCGGTCAAGATCTATGTTGGAAATGTCTGCCCTGCATTTTCCCGACTGCATCTCATTGTCGCACGAAACCTGCGATGACACGGATGATGATCGTTTTCTGCTGTTTTTGATGTATTTATGGCGCGTGATCACGCGTTTATCGCGATTTGACTCTGCTGCGTGTACGGTTGAGTTTATTTTGTCGTTTGAAGTGTTGGTTATGGAAGTATTAAACGATTTCCTTCTTTCCGACATATTATGGTTTTCGGGTGGCAGTATTACCTCAACTTCCTTAATTGATGCCTGGTTGTTGGAATTGACGTTTTGGATACTGACAATTGGATCAACTTCTGCTTCATCAAATATATTGGCACAGAAATCATTTGCGCTGTTGCTGTTGCTGGGCGACAATTTGTTTTCGTTCTTAGATTGTTTGGACAAGCTCTCAGCATCAGAATACTCATCGCACGCTTCAGGCTGCACAACTGTAGTATCTATATTATGTTTTAAGGGTAGGGCATGGGATTCATCCCGTTTTAACTTCTTTTCTGGGATTTCCTCATCTTTTAGAAACATAAGTGACTCAAAATATCTTCGCTTTGGACAATACGGTTCATATTTTTCCCCCTTTTTTTTAACTTCGTTATACTTTCGAAGCTGGTGACGAAATGCACACCGAAGATTGTTAATTTTTTGTTTAGTCCTTTCAACATTATATAGCTCTCCATGTTTAGTCGCCACAGCAATTAATTTGATATACGCTTCTTGTCGTTTTGTTCGATTTCTAAAGTCTGTTGAATCGGCTTTCCACAAGCACGGATTATTCTTGTACTCTTCTATGAAATCGTCAATAAAATCCATGTTTGTTTGTAAATCGGACAATGATCAATAATTGACAAACAACATCACGGATCACATAAATTAAGAACTGAATTTTACAAAATGCAAGCGACGAAATATTGAAGTGTTATTATAATTTGACAATAACTGTGTTGTAAATGACCAAAAAGTGTAGTTAACTTTAACATATACAATGCAGATTAGCGTCAATAGTGGTACACTGGAAACAGAAATTTTTCAAAGTTGAGAACGAAAATAATGGCGAAAACTCTAAAAATATGGAATGAGGGCTAATTTTTTGCCGATAAAACTAATTTTGTCAGTTTACATGATATATTTACATGATATATTTATCTATGTATTCGCATATATTTGCTGTGTACTGGGCTTAGTTCGGTAGAAAATCAATGTACTTTAAGCCGATGCCAATATAATTTTCTTAAATTCAATCATTTTTTTTATCTGTCAGCGGCCAAGCCCCAAAATCCATATTTGATTACAAATTAATTTGTATGTTATAATAAATTAATTTAATTGCTTATTGTAATTTAATCGTTTAATCAATTAGGAAATATATAATTAATAATTCGGGGTAATCCACCCGGTCAGAAAAATAACACAATTAATTTCTGCGACACCAAAGGCCTATAATTGGGCTCGTTTAAGAGCCATCGAAAATGACATGATTGGTTTCGACCCTGAATTTTCTGTCAGAAACGACAGCACTATGGAGTTGATCACGAAGCCGAGCTGGTCAGCATTGCACGTGAACTAACCGTAAATTGCATAGCAAGGGGTAAGGAATACGCTGAAGAAAATAGCATACAGCACTGCAAATATTTAGGCTCAGCTGATGGAATTTCTTCGAAATTAAAATAATGAATATTATAAGTATACACATAAAAATATTAAAATAATAAATAACCATTGTTTTTAACATTACTTACAAAGGCTACCATATTGAAAGATGCTATTTGTTGCCTATGTGTACAGCAGTTTCACATCTTCAATAAGTTTCATTCGTTCGCCGAAAATGTTATCGGTGTGAGCTGACAATAAGTAGTACCGTATTTAGCCACTCTCAGAATTCGTGAATCGATTGAAAAGAAGTTTGATGATCTATCGATAGTATCAGTGGATTAAAATATCGGTATCGGTAGTTGTTCTGGAGTCGAGCTCTAACAAGTCAGAATGATTTTAATGGTGTCCCACCTCTAGTGCATCGTATGCAAGAAAAGACAACCAATTAATATTTAAGAACATATGTTTTACAAAAGGGTGATACTTTTTGTTTAATTATAATTATAATAACGTTAATCATACGTTCATGTCGAAATGGCAATATCAGTTTGTTATTCCGTGTTATTACTTTGGAATATTATAACTGCGTATGGACTTGTGGATCAGCAATCAGTCACGTATCCAGTAAATGAAAAGGATTATGGCAAACATGTCAGTGGTTCGTTTCCATTCCTCATGCCATCGGTTTCTCCACAAACTGTAAGATATACAATTTTAATATATATGTGATTGCATGGAAGCATATGAATTATGCGTATTCAATATATGTATGTATGTAGTATGTATGCAGACTCTTCAACATATGGACCATTGACGTATTGCTCTGAGCACTTTTTCTTATTGTAAAAACAGTAAGAATATTAAGATGGGGCAGCTAAACAAAAAAGGGAGAGTAGTTTTGATCCTGGTTCCTTGCTCACTTGTTCAGAGGCCCGAACCAAAGCAAAGTCGATGGCGCCCTTTTTATACCCCGAACCCATTGCAAAGTTGTATAAAGGGTATATCGTTTTTTGTCAATGAATGTAACACAGAAGAAAGCATTTCGGACCCCATATATTCTTTATCAACAACAACACCCGAGTCGATCTAGCCATATGCGTCCGTCCGTGTATTGGACGGACACGTCGATCTCAAAACCTGTATGTCCAGAGCTTGAAATTTGTTATTTTTAACGTGTGCTCCCGCAGTTCTAGTTTGTTTCAAATTCTTTCGATTTAAATAGCTAGACTCACCCAGTTTGACATGTTGCTTCCATAATAATGTATACCGATCAAGTATCTTTCATTTTATAGGGCGTGTTTGCGGCAGCAAGCGCAAATTGCTAGAATTTCTTTACATATGTCCACAGATACATTCACGCGATTTTTCTAAATTTGCTTGGAAACAAGGCAAGTTATCGATGATATTAAAAACACGAATGGCGCGGACAATAGGAGGATATTCTTTCAAAATTTCAAGTCTCAGAGCGTCGCGTTTAAAGAAACGGACAGATAGACTAACATATCCTGACTTGGTTGTTGATGCTGGCAAACAACAAATATGTATTATGGGGTCAGAGATTTTAATATACATTTAAACAACACCATTATAGATTTTTTTTTACCAATTTTCATAGGGTCCAGGGTATATACATTGGAAACCTATCGCCTTACAAGATTTTGAAAGAAGATATGTGCACATATTATTGTATTATATTATATTATTTTATATTGATTTAGTGAAAAATATATTTAAATTGTTATATTTTAGCCGGATTTGTACTTGTGCACTCCCATCAAAGTTGATCCAACAACATCGTACTATATTGGTACGTGAAAATTAAGAAATTTAGACTGTTTTGTGTATTTTTAATCAAAATATGTTTAAGAACAGTTGGCTACAAACCAAACGCAACCATGAATACTGCTCATCATATGTTGCTTTATGGATGCGGTGAACCAGGAACAACTAAACTTACCTGGTAAGTTATTTAGAACACTCAAATGCCATACTATTATATTAATATAATATAAAAAATATAAGATATCTGAATGCTTAAGGCTACACCTCTAACAAGTCGCTTCTTGTGATCTTGCACTATTATAGTGCTGTTTTTATAAATACATGTGGAATACGTAGGGAAAATGCATTCCTCCAAGCTTTCTCTGTGCATAATGCGATTCACGTTTTAGCGATTTTGGAAGTTCCACTCGGAAAAAATCTGTTTAACTCTTGAAACTCTGCACACCCGACGCCTAGAGTAAGCATTCAGCAATTAACTGGAGGGGGTCTTACATGAATACCCCCCATAGCACAGTTTTCTGACATTGTATTTTATTTGGTTCATATAACAATTCAACTATTTTTAAAAACTATACTTGTTTGTTTACAAAACTTTTGAACCAACAATTTATTCACAGGAACTGTGGAGAAATGACGAAATCAGCAGATGAGGATACAGGAAGTCCCTGCGGTGCCCAGTCACATTCTCAGGTTAGTTTTTTAAAATTTTTAAAAATTGCTTGCTCAGAGCCGGGAACTGCCACTTTTGAATAATGAATCCTACATCCGTTGGGATCTGAAATGAAACAGACAGCTGCAGTATTAGATTTGCTTTTTTAAACGATATATACACCCTTGAATTCTCTTCATTAGATTTTATATGCTTGGGCAAGAGATGCACCAAAATTGGATTTACCTTCGGGTGTAGGATTTAAAGTCGGCAAGAATTCACCGACAAAATATTTGGTCTTACAAGTGCATTACGCTCATGTTGGTAAATTCAAAGGTATGATAATAGATTATATATATTATTTCCTTAAAAATTATATTTTTGCTTCCTTTAGACGGATCTACCGATGATTCTGGTATATTTTTGCAGTATACTGAAAAACCGTAAGTTATTTATTTCTACAACTGTATTTCATCTTATTCTGTGTTGAATTATTTTACAGACTTACAAAGCTAGCCGGTACCTTACTTTTGGGTACTGATGGAGTAATTCCTCCAATGAAGACAGAACATATGGAGGCCGCCTGTGAGATAACTGAAAATAAAACGATTCATCCCTTTGCTTATCGCACTCATACACATGGGTTAGGAAAAGTTGTTTCTGGATATAGGGTTCGATCCAATGCTCATGGAGTTCAAGAGTGGACGCTACTTGGAAAGAGGGATCCACTTACACCACAAATGTTTTATAACGTTGAAAACAACTCACCTATAGTAGCCGGTGATTATGTTGCTGCCAGGTGTACAATGAAAAGCACTCGTCAACGCACGACAGAAATTGGGTGAGACTATTTACACTTTTTACAAATTCCATTATTACAGGAATAATATGTGCTATAATAAGTATTTAAATTCAAGACTAAACAGTTGAGTTTAAACTCTGTTAAAGTTTTGACTAGGAGTAGCTACACCGATTTTGTCGATTACATATTATTATTATTACTTGCTAACAATTTTTATATGCTCAAATTTAGCGTACAATTTTAGTAGATACTTTTGTATTGTATAAGTTAGACTATGCAACGGAAATCAACTACGAGAAGATATTTTATTGTTATTAAAAAAGGTTTATTATCGTCATTAGTCATTTATTCACACGATAATCAAATAGATTATGAACACTAAGACGGGGAACGCTCATACATTTTAATGCGACGCAAAATGTATAGTCTTGCTTTTCATTTGGCTTTTCGCTATTTAAATGACACGCCAGCCGACTGGCTTTTTGCTCTCCAAAAGGCAGGCGAACGAATGACCGCTTTGCAAAATAAATTCAAAACTATCTAGGTTTTCCTAATAATGTATAATTTATTTATCTATTTAAAGCCCAACAAATGAAGACGAAATGTGTAATTTTTACCTAATGTACTACGTAGACGAAGGAGAACCACTCGATATGAAATATTGTTTTAGCCAAGGTCCTCCTAATTACTACTGGGCCAATCCAGACACCGGATTACATAACATTCCAAACCTAGAAGCAAGTACATTGTAAATCTCCAAAATTTTAGATAAACAAACAAGTGGAAATCTAATTATTTTGATTAATTTTAACGTTGTCTTTTGTTTATTACGTTGTGGTGTTGAACGTCATATTGTATAACACAAACTCGAATTATACTAACTTTTAGAATTCACTTTTAGCATTCATTTAAACATACAACCTACAATAATAAACAAGTGTATCTATATCAAGCCTTTTATATTTTCTTTTGCTTTTATTTTATAAATGTTTGGAGTTTAAATCGACAAAACGGTTTTGCTTTTGGATAAACAAATCGACGCATCGATGTTCTTCATATCACTACCTATGACAGAAATTAACGATTCTTATATGACCCATAGTTGAATTTATTACGGGACCATTTTGGAGAAACGAGGTAAGAAGGTTGAAGGTTATGTACGTTCAATTAATTTTATTAAAAATGAGAATGTATTATAGGCATCTCACGTGCTCCTGTTGTCGCTTTATAAATGATAAGTTTTAACTATAAATACCAACAACACTTAAATATTTCTCTAAAATGTTATCCAGTTTCAACAATTTGTATTCCCGAAGCTATAGCTTTCTGTTCGTCAGCTTTACCGTCCGTATGTCTGTAAACCCGTCTAATTGTGAAACAATAAGAACTAATCATACGTTAATTGCTATTTATTCATTTATTTTGTGAGAATCTCCTCAATTTTTACAATATCGAAAACTATCGATTTGAGAACTTTTTTTTAGACATTTTTTTTTTTGATTTTCCTCATATCCCTGAAATTTAAAAATATTTGAATTTTATGTCATGAACCCGTTAAAAGTGGGTAAAAGCAGTATAATGACTTTCTGCAAATGTATGTAACAGACAGAAGAAAGCATCTTCGATCCGAATGTATTGTTCTGTCGACTCGTCCGAGAGGCCATCTCAGGGGAGAATGTTATCCTCTTTGAGCAGCACGATGTCGTTCGGCTGTAGATTTCTCTTGGGAGCGCGGTAAGTGATGCTTCAATTCTTCCAAAAGGTCTGCCAGGCGTAAGTACCGCCAAGTCGCTTAAACTCTTTGTAGTTGCACAGAGTGGTCTTGAATTTAGCATGGCATAGATTTGACAAATAAGGGTTCGATGGGCAAAATTGGGCATTTATTATAATAATATATGTCTAGCCTTTTATCGAGCTGTTAAGCAAGAAAAGCATTTTCGAACATGCTTTCTTTATTTATTTTTTTTTTATATTTAACTAAACTAATTAAAATTAAACTAACATAAGCTCCGCAGCAGCAGCAAACGTAGTAGCATGAATAAATTTATCTGTACGGCTTAAGATTTAATGATGACAAGAACAGGCATTTGCTAAATGATTAACAGCATGGTGTGTGCTTTGCTTAAAACGGCATTTGAGGCGTATATTTTACTTATTACAGTAAGAATACTTACAATAAAATAATATAATCACTTAACTAAGCTTGCAAATTTCGAGTTATGTATTCTGAGCGTTCTTACAATAACAATTAAACTCATGCAACAAGTTTAGACATTCTGATATTTTTTCAAAAGCATTGCCCAAACGTCTGGATAGCGAGCTTGCAAGAACGATGTCAGTTTTTGTGCACTTTGAGCTTGTTGGGGAGAGCAATTGCGACATTTTCTTGTTATAACCTCAGGTAGAGCAGCTAGAAGAAGAAATTGAATTATTTAAGCGTTATACATAAGGAATTGTTTTAAGTAAGAGAGAAGTGTTTCTCCTGCTCCCTAAATGTACAGGGTTGTGAATCTGCCTGTTAAATTCATTTTTTCTCTTCAAATTGATATAGTTGAACTTTAAATTTGATTTATTTAGGTAAAATTTATTGATTGATAGATTATGATGGCATTTGCTTTTAGGAACAGTCAAGACTTGTAAAATCAAGAATCCCTGTTTAAACATTAAAAAAAAAAAACAGAAAATTTCTTGAACTGCTGTGATCTTTACTGTAGCACCTTATGCATATAAAAATTAGAATGGGCAACAGATTCGTTGTAAAAAAATGTGATTGCTTATTTATATATACATATAATATAAATGTACCTTTAAGTTGTCGTCCCAATTGGTCACACGGGCTTTTTTCAAGAATACACATAATTTGGCGACTAACAACGGCTTGGTTGTTTAAAAGTCTATTGATATTCTTTTCGTCAGCATCAATTTTTGAAGGTAATATTATTATAAGAAAAAACATTAAAATTAAAATATATTTTTGTGTTTCTTTTAAACAAAGCATAGCTCCTTTATACTTTGATAACTATGTGTACTTGTTATATTGTAACGCATGCGCTTTAAAATAAGTTGCAGAGTTGTAAATGTAATTATCCCGACGGACTTTTCCGATTAATTTTGTTTGCCTGAACGTTGTCCTTCGATTTCAATCCTTGCCTGTGTCTGCAAGACATTTTCATTGCGGTTGCTTTCTGCGTGATCATCCTCTTTTTTGCAGATCCATCTAAATTTCTTTCTATAAAAATAAATATTCTACAAAATAACTTTTCTGCTTTCGATAACTTTCTTTGACTCTGGACAAAAAGGCGATATGCTTTTTTCTAGATGGCTTGTTCCAACTGCAATCGTTCCGCTTTGTGGATTCTTTCTTCTGATGTCTTCTAATGACACTTACTTCAAAAGGCATCCTGCCCACGACCGAGGGATATGAAAGGTTGTATACTATTGTATACTATTATAAGTTTTACATTTGTAACTTTGTTGACCTACAATAATGAGTAGACTCCCTTTGAAAGAAAGAAACGTCATCTTGCAAAGTCAATATATACCACTAACTGCTTTATCGCAGAAAGTAAGCATAAGCTTGAACATTGGGATATACCGAGAAATTTAATAATTTTATATCCGAAACATTGGGCTCTCAATCCGGGAGCTACCGGTTTTTAATTCAAATCGTTTACGAATTTCCCGAAAAATATTTTAAGCACTCACTTTATCATCAGGTTCTGCCTTTAAAAAATCTATTTTGAGTCGACAATTATGTACACTATAATTACACGTATTTATTTAACGAACATTGACATACTAAGTGCTACAAATAACTAAGTAGTTTTATAATTTTAATAATCATTGTCATCGTTGTCATAGATATCGTCCAAATCATCGGCGTCATATTCATTAATATCTTCTCCAATGCTCACATCTCTTTTCTGTTTACTCAAAAGCCAATTCTTATACGCAAGTTCATCTTCAAGAGTTGGATCAGTAGCTTCAATAAAGTCTTCGACTTGGTGAGGAAATTCTTCTTGAACTATAGCCAAATGCTTAAATGGTATGTTGCGTTGGCAAAATTTATGTCCCCATCCCAAATATACTGACTCGCAAGTATTTTCAAAAACGAAAGTGAAGGCCCCAGGCCATACATTTGATTGCAACACCAACAAGCGCTCCTTTTGATTCGTATACCTGCTCGTAAAACGCACTAACCAGGGGAATGTACATTCCCTGCTCATGTCGCTGGCACATGACGATAAAATATCAGGCCCTGTTTCTGGATGCGTAAACCCTTCAAGCATTTCTTCTTCTTCACCCTCTTCTTCGCCTTCCGCTTCTTCTTCTTCAATCTCCTCCTCCATTTCTTCCAATAGCCGCGACTTTATGTACAACGCAAGCATTTTTTCCCGCTCCTTGCGAGCTTTTTCTTCATCGTACCATACAACACGACCCTGATTCAAGATATTCGGTCGGCAATGAACCCAGGCAACGGGCGTCGCCAATGAGCTTAAGGGTTCTATCTCAAAGCGTTCATTTTTCATGAGCATTACGTCATTATCTAGCAAGATTGAGTTTCATAAGTAAATGTAAAGAAAAGAAACCTAACTGTCAGGTGAAAATTATGATGGTTGATAACCTGTAGCTAATGGTTATAGATAAGGAAATAATATATATCACAGATCAACTGCCAAGCTCATCCAGCATTAATGTCATTAGGCGATTTCTTTGTACTCGATGCCCTATGCTGCGAATAACAACCCAGGCTCTTCAACTTCCCGTACGCGATCATCCGGCTGGCTTATGTTCACTTGATAGTCTTTTCGCTGATCGTAGCTGATCGCAAATTAAGCGTTGTGAAAGCTGAGAGGGAAGCAACAGCACTAGCAAGAATGCCAGTAGACCGCATCGACTTAACGCACATTGATGCGTTTTCTGGAGAGGATGAATATGAGGTAACTAACTGGATTCGACATCGCGAATATGTGCGGCGTTTTCGCTGCCAAGCGTCGGATTATAGCTAAATGTCGGCGAAGGTTTACCATGTGTCACCATTAACTTGGGACTTAAGCGCCCAGAAATTGACTGTGTGGGATGTTGGAAAGCGGTTGGACGTTCGTAAAATCGCAAAGAATGAATATGCGTTGCAATACTGTGTTGTGATGTGTAGCATAGTAGAAATGGTCACGAGTGATGTGGTCTAATTCATAGTGGATGGATTGCAGGGCAAGACACGACAGCCCATTGAACGACTTGCGCAAAAAGAACCTCCGATAAGATAAGAAAGTCGTTTTTATCTGTGATAAGTCGTAGGAAAAACGTAGCTGAAGGAAGTGATGCAGGTAAGCTCTACAAAAATCTTTTATACCAAAGTCTCTTACATTTGGAGAATTATTTATCTATAATATGCACTGAAAATTATTAAGAATATCTGAAGAAGGATTAGAAACACAAACACGCACAGAATACCTGTTGGCGATCAAGAATATATATTTTGACCTTTTTGCGCTTGTGTGTTTGTAGGGTATTAAAAAAAAACACTATTAAACAGTCGGTAATAAATACTTTACCTTGAATTTCCTCTTCTTCACCTTCATTGTAATTTTCTTCTTCCTCGATCTCCTCTTCCTCGTCAAGGTTGATGCCTTCAAAAAGATTTTTCTCCTTCTTGGTCATCCGTCTATAATAACCTTGCGGTGCAATATGGGTGCCAGCCGTAATACGAGCAATCATTGCACGCAAATAATGTTTCTCCTTTCCTGGAAAGCATGGATATGATACAACATCAGCCTCCAAATCGCCAGTGAAGAACTTTTTGATATGGCGAGAAACTACGATTTGTCGTGGCGTAACTATAGGTAACTCAATCCAATCGTTATATAAGCAGTTGACCACAAAATACGAGTAACGATTGCATCCGCGTCCCACATTTTCTGGTGGTATATCATAAAATTCGATTTCCTCTGCTAAAGGAACTGGTTCAGCTTTTGGTGTCATCTTTTCCAAATCCTCTAAAGCATAAGTTTCCCATCCATAAACTCCTGGAGTTAATTCGGGTCCTATATGCGTTGGTAGAGGCTTTTGCTCCTGATTTTTTCTCATTTTAAAAGGCAGCTGCTTTTCTCGCATTTCTTCTTCCATCATGGCCATTCGGGAATTTAATTCCTCGCGTGTGAGTGAGGCTTCCACGATGTAGTAAGAACTTTTTAAACCATTTATACAACCCCAAAATCGACATTGCATTATTGATGGATGTGTCTGTAGTCGGTTTATAGAGCTTGCCAATTGAAAGATATCATCTTTACTTATACTAAAGCCGCATTGGTTCCAGAAGAATTGAAGCTGTTCAACGCGTTCATTAAATGTTACAAACAAGCGCATGGAATCATCAAGGTCTATGCGAAGGTCCCCATCGCCAAATGCAAATGCCTCTTCACTAGGAAGGTCCTCCTCGCAACCAAAGTCAATACCTTCAATATTGTGGGGTAACTAATGATAATTCTAATTATTATCATTAAATATATCAATACGCATTACACACCTTTATTGAATGCAATATTTTTTTCGCAGGACGAAACATCCGACTGTCAGCAAAAACGCCGTTAGGCGGAAAACGTTCTGGTACATGAAATTTTTGCTCACGCACATTTCTACTGAATTCCTCAAAAAAATCAATAACATTCGGAGGTCGTTCATCAACAACTCGTTTTACAATATCACTTAGATGATCAAATCTGTAATATTAAAATACAAAATACTTGATATTTGTACGCCATGACCCATAAAAAAGTGTGAATGTTAAAGCCGCAAGAATCCAACTTTGAGGCTTATGTCAAAAATTTAATTCATACAGACGGGCATGGCGAGATCGACTCGGTTGTAGACGCCGAGTACGGGTTATTTTCTAATGGTTGCGTGAAAGTGAGATAGCGTGACTTTTATTGATATAATGTGTTGTTAGGATTTGAATATTTCGACGCCCACGTGCGACCGAATCGAAACCCCAATCCAAGGGCATATCACATTTTGCTATTGTACTATTGTATCAAAATAAATAATAAACTTGGATAAATTCTGAAATAGGTTAGACATTAAGGTATATAGATAATTTGTCGGAACCCACTTTTAATCAATTCAAAAGCCCCTTTTATAATTTTAATGACAGCTTTAATTTATAGGTGAATTCACATACTCACAAGTTGTCTCCACTTAGTGTGCTATATTGTTGCAGCACCGACTTGGCTACACTCAGCTCATAGCCAATGTGTGGAGGCTCGTGTTCCGTGGCTTTTTGACATTGGGTATCAGATTGTAGGGCGCCCAGTGATATGGTCGTCGATGACGACGTGGTTGAGCTTGTGATTATGTTGGAGCATTCTGGCGATGATCCGTGTTCAGATTTTTTATCTTGATTATTATCCTTCTTGGTTTTTGTGCATGGCGGTAGCTCTGAGTGAACCGATGTGCTGGATCCATTTGCAAAATTTTGGCATGATGCAAAATCATTATCCATGCTTTAATATTTTTGATTCTTATTGGTCGCATAAAAAATAAGTGTATTTATTTAGTAAACAAGACTTTCAAATGAAAGCCCACTATATATTAATATTCTTTGATTTAAATTCACTATTTGGTTACTGTTTTAAAAATACATAGAAAGAATGTCATACCCTGTACCTACTTATTGTGCTCTAGTCGGGAGTGCTCGACTAGGAGATGCCTTGAACCTTCGTTATCTTCGTTACAGACTCGCTTGCTAAAGCTTCAAAAAAAGTTAAATTTAACATAAAACCCATCAATTTAAAAATATATAAAAGCTTTGCAAAACTATTAGCATATACTTTCGAAACCAAAATATTTTGCAAAACAACAAAATGTTGAATAGGCGAAATTTCGGGCATAAGCTTAGTCGAAAAGATCTTTAAGAAAATTCATTTGAAAATTTATTTTTGGTTAAGCTCCAAGTTTTGTTTGGTCTTTAATTTACTTTCCGCGATTTTGCAAATTCGCTAGACTGGAAATTTCAGTTCAATATAGTAGAGAAATAATTAAATTTACCAGGGGCGGAAACTGGGTAAGAGCTAACCTATATTATATCTGATTTTGTGCATCGAAGACCTCATAATTTGCTTAGCAACAAAGGCTTAACATCCAAATTTGATTGTTTCCATGGCTACAATGGCTTGGCAACGGCGTTTATTAGCTTGCTTGTTTTTATTTCATTTTTTGCACCTTGGTAACTGAATTTATGAATGTTTAGTCGTATTGGATGGTATTTGATTTTAAACCATCCAGGCATGTGCAAAGAAAACTAAAATTCAAGATGTACTTGAAGAATTTGTATGTTTGTATTTTTTTCTACGTCAATTATAATTTCTTATACATGCGTGTAAATAGCGTAGATGCACCATTTATACATATACCCGGCAATGGAATTATATCTGGAACCTATTTAAAAATGTTCCGAACTCAAAATATAAAAGCCTACTTGGGCATCCGATATGCCCACGCAGCAAGATTCTCTCCGCCAGACATTGAATTGCCACCATGGAAAGGAATCTTTAACGCAACTACATTTGCATCAAGCTGTTGGCAGCAAGCCCGTCCAACAATTAATGTGCAATTAGAGAAAGTTTTAGATATTATATCAGGCAAAAATATTAACGAACCGGGAATAAGGAAATATGAGGAGAATTGTTTACATTTGAATGTATTTGTACCTGCCGGTAAGTAACGCATACGTTAACTATTCAAAATTAAATAATATATCATTTTTCGCTTAAAAATAATTCTCTTGCACGTACACAAAACAGTTAAAGCCAAATGAAAACCATTTTAGCTAAAGTCGCCAAATTCACTTTCATTTCACTTTTCGCAATATCCACGGGTGGAAAACTCGATTCGTTGATTTTTTGGCTTTAGTTTTAAGTTTTGTTCGATTTGCATCAAGTTTATTTTCAAAGCTAGTTTTTTTTGCCAAAATAGTTCGCATAGCTCTAGTCTGACGATTCCATTGCCATTGCCAGAGTAGAGGGAAAACATAGAAATCACAGGGACGCTTGTAGCCTAATATATATTTGTCATGCCAATTGAATTTTAATTGAAATTGATTTTACTTGAAATACATATTTTTAGGACCACCTGAAGTTGACGGATATGCCGTAGTTGTTTGGATACACTCTGGAAATTTTTCAATGGGCAGCCCATATGACATTGAGCCATTTCAACTTGTTTTTAAGCAAAAAGTTATAGTTGTAACATTTTCATATCGACTAAATATTTTTGGGTTTTTTTCAACTGATGATGGCGAGGCTCAAGGCAATTTTGGACTGATGGATCAATCGGCTGCACTGTACTGGGTAAAGAAAAATATTAATTATTTTGGAGGTGACGAGAATCGGATCACATTAATGGGCCACGACGCAGGAGCTGTCAGTACCGCCTTGCATATGACATCCGGGGAATGGTCAAAGGGAGCCTTCCACAAAGCTATTATAATGTCCGGCAATCCTTTAAACTCTCTTCGATTACCACATGAATTCAATGACGATTTGGATAAAATATCAAATATATTCGGATGTGCTCGAAGACCAACGTCAATTTTTATTCAATGTCTTAAGAGAGTTGACGCAAAAATTATAACTGAGAATCTACCGTCAATTCAATGGGGTCCCATTGTGGATTCTGGATTGAGTAATACATCATATCCATTTATCGAAAACCAGCCGGAAGCGTTATTTAGGAGTGGAACTTATCATAAAGTACCAGTTATTGTTGGCATAACTGACATGGAGGATGTTCTTACAATTTTAAGGGAATACATTTCGTTAGAGCTGAGTCCAGAGGATATGACAAATTTTTTTTCAGACATCGCATTAAATGATGTTTATAAACTGAGGGGTAGCAATCAATGGTGCACAAACTTTCCCATCATTTCTGATGCAATAAGCTTTATGTATTCTGATAAAAATAATGCTGAAAAAATGACTATTAATACAAATTTAATCAATGCTCATACGGAAAAATCATATATAACTCCATTAGAAATGTTTGTCGACATAGTAAGTATGCATCAAAATGTTTATAGTTATGTATTTAAGTTTCGGTCAAAATCTATTCGTCCCGATCTACCAAGTTGGATAGGAGTACCAAAATATTTTGACCAGATATTTGTTTGGGGTATTCCGTACGTAAACAATATTATAGAGTGGAATTCAACCGATAAAAAAATGGCAGACATTATTATGACATTATGGGCGAATTTTGCTAAAACATCGAATCCTACCAAGTCGAACGTGTATGTTAAATGGAGCACAATATCGCCACCCAACTATTCTTATATAATAATTGACGAACGATTTAATACAGGCTATTTTGCAGATAATCAGAAAGTACAGTTTTGGAAAAATTTGTATCCTAAAATTCTCAATTTCGCAACAGAATGCTGCAATTCTACAAATGCAGGAATAACAAAATTAATCCCCTACACAATGAACATAAGTTTATGTTTATATATAAATATGTATATATATAGTTTTTACATGTACATATTTTGAATAACATTAACAAAACTGTTTACAAAACAATTTGTAAACAAAATTGTTTTAACATTAATAAAAAGTATAAAAAACGCATACGTTAAATCATTTTTTAATAACCTTCACTCGTCTGTGGGGGACGTCATCATCCACATCCATAGAAAAATGCGCGTGCTTGGCGCTAGCTGCCTCGTGTATGAAATGTGCTTTATAAATACTATCTAACGATTTCCAATTCTTAAATTAATTGCAATATTATCAATGATTAGGGAGTATTAACAACATCAAGTTCCTAATGATGAAAATCTATTTAACATATTGGAAAACAGACCTAGCACAAGACCAATTTATTTTTATTATTGACATTTAAATATACAAAGCAAAACTTTATTCCAAAACACACGGACACGGCTCATAATTTCTAAGTTGGCAAAATATTTATAATCCCCTTCTCAAAACTGTAAGCGAAAAAAAAAACATTAGATATGTTATGTATGTTACATTTTAGAATAAAAATTTAATTTATTTTAATCAATATCAATATTTTAATCTTAAATTATAATTATAAATACAATATTTTTGAAATGTTCAAAGCCAAGGATGCCAGGCGGGATCCATTCGACATAGGTTGTCTATATTAGTTGCGGATTGAATGAGTGCAGAAATTTTCTTTTTTTCTATGTTGTCGAAATAGGAAATTTTATTTAAACGTAATAAAATTATATCCACAGTAGAGTTCACGACTCGAATAGTGTTTTCCATCGGATTATTATCAACACAAGGCTCTTGAGATGTGTCCATTAATTTACTTTGCCGAAATCCTTTTTTTTGCAAAGTTATAATTTCATCCCTAAGGATAGTTTGTAAAATTGAACTTAGTTTGTAGTTGGGTTGAATAAAACAACGAGCTGTTGCCACAATCGCAGCAGATAATAGCCCGGAAATTCCAATGTTTGTAATAAACTCGCCAATGTTTGGGGTAAGTCGAAACGGCACTGGTCGATGTTGATTGAACTGTTCTTTATCATCGTGTATATCGAATTTGAAGTACGAAATGTTCATTAGTCCAGAATCCTGATGAAGGTACATCATATCTGGATTAAGTCGTGTTAAATTAAGAGCATGCTCGCAAAGATATGACAATGCCAACTGAAGTGTTAACTGTAAATAAACAAAAGATAAAAATTGATTGATGGGATACCAAAGCTATTTAAGATTCCATTTCCCATAGTGTGGGGTAAACGGAAACTGCATAGACGTAGCACAAGGTGCCTTACAACACTAATTTAATATAAGAAATAGCGATTTCGACGCAAAAAACCACCAATCAATTTATTTGAACAATTCTTTAATGTAAACTCACCATTTTTCTAAACTGCCAATAGTCGGTGGCTGCAGCAAATGTGTTTAGGGCCCATTGCCTGAGAAGTGTTTTGGACACCATAGTGCATTGTACTTCACTGAAAATCTCTCTTAAAATTGTATGTGAAATTGGTGTGCCCTGCGCTTGAACTTCAGAAAGCCGCTCGTAGTATCTGACAATCGGCATATCGTAGTCAATTTTTGCATTATTACAGCACTTTTTAAATATCTTCAGCAATGAAACACTATTCGGATTATCTTCAGCTAGTCGCATTTGAGGTGAAATGGGAACAACTCGTGGCACTGTTATATTTAAAAATCGACGACTCGTTTCCTTCTGTTTTTCTAAATAATAATTAAGCATTCTCTTTAGCTGCAAAACTCGTTCTTCCCGACGCGCATCCCCTAGCCCAGAATCCAGAACTACTAGGTAAGGATAAATTTTTCCATTTGTACCTCTTATGTATAACCTTCGAGCAGCAGTGTTATTTTTCTGAACTATTTCCACACGTGGCATAAACCGAGCAATGCGCACATAATAATGAGATGATGAAGGAATCAGTAATTCTCCGGGTAGTTCAACTTCCGCGGTTTTTTGACTGAAGTTGGATAAAAATCTGCACTTGTCTTCTATTAGGAAGGATGTTGGCAATTTTTTCACCTTTGCTTCCAAAACTTTAATCCACGTTTTTAATTTTGATATTAAATTGTGTAATTTCATCGCCCCTGGCTTTGAAAAATCAAAATCGTTTGTAAATTGTTCTTTCATTTTTTGGAAAACAGGGTCCTGGAATGTTACTTGTGCCCGTCGTGCTAGAGACTCTGATGCAGCTGAGTGAGATATAGAAGAAGCGACAGATCCTGGCACATTTTCAATTCCGATACCAAAGGTTGATCCCAGTTTTTTGACGAAGTGCAATGTATGCGGCGTTATGGTTGCATTGACAACTGTGCTTCGATTCTCAAATGCTATAGCATAACATTTAATTAAACCTTGTCGTAGCTGACGAAGAACTTCTTCTGTCCAACTCTCCCTAAACCAAACCATTTGGTCTACAATTCCTTCAAGCGAACTTAAAATAGTGGGATGAACTTCACGTTGCAGTTGCATTACTTTCGAACATCTCCACATGGGTGGTGTAGCTTTGATTGGGTTTACTGACGCGACCGTCACTTGATTTCTGCCACAAACAGATGCCATATTTTCGAGGTTCTAAAAAAATAAACCAAATTTAATAAAAAAAAAAAAAAATAATGTCTTAAAAACTCGTAAAATTGTGGTACTTACGGAAGACGTTAATTTACCAGCGAAGACCGCCTGCTCAGCTGATTTATGTTTTTCTCTCTGTTCAATCTTTAAAGTTAAATATAGAGTTCGAATCGGAAAGTAAACTGCCTGTGGGTACAGTCTTCCAATCTAAAAACAAAGACAATTTAAACCAATAATTATTTTTCCATTTTTTGTTTTAGTTAAGTTAACACTTAAGGGGGACACATTTCCCAAAGCGGGGCGATCACGGAATAAGAAGCACAGTTTTTATATATAGAAGGGAATAATGTAAATGCCTATTCATGATATTCAGCTAAACTTACCTGACTCAACAAATTCAATATAACATCGCCCTCAAATTGTTCCAGACAACAAAGTAGTTGAGGTATCCACGGCAGCCAATAAGATGGAGGAATCCCAGATACATATTTTTCAAAAGTGCTAATCATGGTGTCGCTTGAATTATCATATGACAAGAACCACAAAACCTTGGCTATGTATTTTCTGGTTTTACTCTCGTTTTGGTTACGGCAGGCATGTAGAAAACAGATTAAAGCATTAACACCAAGGGAAATTTGTTTTTCTTTTAGATATATCTGTTCCATATAGTCTCCCCACATAGCCCACGCTTTAGTAAGTCCATCGTGAAGTTGAACTGCTGCGCTGAATGATTTTCCTGCTTCATCTGTGCGGCCAATTTGCGTTAATAACAAGCCTTTCAGTGCGTAAAATTCGGCATTCATTTCACCAGTGAAATATTTTAAATTTGTTGATTCAATGACTTCAAGAGCTTCATTTATTTCATTGCGTCCTGATGTTGAGGGCATTTGTAAGTAGCATTTAACTTGTTGACGTATTTTCTATAAAAATAATTTCATAAATTGTAAATTGACTCCATGTTTTAAAGTTAAATTGTACACATAAACTTTAATGTAAATCACCCTTTTGATAGCGAGACACAATCAACAAACTAATTAAAGACTAAAGAATATACTTTAATAACCGCCCTCGTGCTTGAAATAGTTTTCCTTCTTGTAAATAGTTTTATTTTATCAAAAACAATAATATACTGATAAAAAAATATATTCTTTCTTGAGCCTTCCCGTTGGTTCGAACCCTAAGCTTAGTACATTCTACCATTTGGATGTATAGAAAATCAAATCTTTTAGGCGAGCAATCTCAAGCATTATTATACGTGTTATATATAATTATATACATATAAAAGATATTAAATTAAAATATATTGTAGTTACCTGAAAGCAATCAACTATTGGAACCGAGGGTATGGTGTATATTCTAGATAGTGTTTCCTGGCATACTCCAGTCAGGTTATGTTTTCTAGCTATTTTACCAAATGAAATAATTGCTTGCGCTGATGCATGCACTCCTAGCATTGTACTTCCTTGATCGGATTGTTGTTCCAAGTGCTGAGTTATTATTTGATAGTGATGTTGCCTCCAGGTGAAAATGTCGCTCCAATGTGATAAGTCATCGGAAATGATGGGCAATCTATTGCGCCAAGTCTTAACGATGGCTTTCATGTCATGTAAGGAAGAATTTCTCGATTGCGTTAGGCCCTGATGAATTTGGCTTGCTTCGTGTAGTTCCATAATTTGTTGAGAAGCTTGAAGATATGGCAAGTGAATGTGGGATACAATTCTGGGTAGGCGCCGCCACTCTCTTATGCATAAGCTCGAAGCAACCTCAACATAGCGCTCAACACTGGCGGCTTGTCTATCCTCTTGATACAGAATTGATAAATAGCCCTTGTATAAATTCAATTTAAATCCATATTGCTTGGAATAACACTGCTCCGTTTTGGACAAAGCATTTTTCATTAGATTCCAGTCAGGTACCCGCCAAGAGCTTTCTAGAATAAGGAACATATTTTTTTCTCTATTTGTTTGAGCATAATCCAATAAAATATCCCACTGATTAAGTTCCTTTGCACAGCGCATCCAATGTTTTTCCCATAACAATAGTTCGCTGTTTACATCAACGCTTATTTGGCCACTGTTTAAATCTTGTTTAAATTTTGTCATAGCCAGGTCATAAGCACCTTGTGCTTCTTCAAAAAATCCCATTTGTTCGTATGAAATAGCAATATTTGTTTCTGGATAGTGTGCAAATTTCAGCCAAAGACCTGCCCATAGATCTTCCTCGTGCATAGCGGAGTACATTTTAGACAGAGAGTCATAAATGTTATTCAAATTTTGCAGTTCGGACTCTGGCTGACTTACATCCGCAGCAATATTTATATCACTCCGTAGGGAATGCTCCGAAGCCAAATCTTCTAAAACTAATATGGCTCTGTGCCAAAGATTATGAGATTTACCCAAATATGTTAAGAGATTTGGTGGAATATAAATCGAAGGAACACACTTAGT